CTGTAATACTTTCAACAATAAAGATAAATTAAAAAATAAAATTTAAAAAAAAAAAGTGTCAAAGTAGAATGATCCCTGGTTGTCTAACCACTATGCTGCACACTTGGAACTAATACAAAATAATATTGAATGTAAGCTGTAATTGAAAAATAAAAAAATATTTTGAAATAAAAGAGTGATCCTGATTGGAATTGAAGCCACCTCCACAGTAATTACACATTTCCAGGACTGAGAGATGGAGGAAGTTAATGGTATCATCAGTAGATTAGGGGAACATAGAAGAACAACTTTTGGGGGGAAACCTGAAATAATGCATCTACTTAATCTGAACTGCCCACTGCTCACTCAGGAAAGATGTTGATGAAGCAATAATACTACTAGTAGCTCTCAGGAAGTGGTGAATGTACCCTGATACTCCAAGGGAGGTTAAGGCTGAGAATACAGATAAAGAAGGAAGGTGTTAGGGATGTGGTTGAAGCCATGAGAAAGTATATAGAGGAAAAAAAACTGCTAAGAACAAACCCTTGGAAAACAGCCACAACAAGACAATGAGGAGGAGCCATTTCAAAATTAATACTTTTTCTGATTTCCTATCTTCATGAATTGTTGGCTTAAGTTGTAGGGAGGAGTAGTCAGGGAGATCTGTTGGGTTGACCAGAATTATATGAGGAAACAGTAATTATCGGCCACTCTATATCCCAGCAAAACGGACTGTGCACACGTCACTACTCACTGTATCTGAGAACGTGCATCTCCTCCTCACTCTGTCTTTCATCCAGACCTTGGCAGGGTCATACCCAGCTTCCGATACAAATGCCAGGAGTGAAGGAGGTGCAGCCTTGTCCAGAAGCTCAGGCTTTGGATCTTTGATGTGAAGTCTGTGACAATGTAGCACAACGTATTCATGTAAGTCATTTTAGTATTCATGCCTCCAAGGGAGCTAGTCTTTTAATTCTATAAGCCTGTTCATCAGCTTCTTGACTAATATGACTTGGGTGGGTCAACAGATAAATATGAGCCTGTCACCCTTCAGCAGTGAAAGCCAAAGCCGTCATCTGTCCAGGAGGCCCCTCCTCTGAGCGGCTGCGAACCTGCCAGGAGAGAGGCCCCTCCCTCCCCAAGCTGCAC